TGATTAAATAAAGTAATAATGAACGACAGCCCAAATAAGCAGCAAGATTCACTAAGGCTACAAATTTACGAAGTAAAATAGCAAGCCATTCTTGAAGTGAAACACAAGAGCATCTCAGGCAACAGTAAGAAAAGGACAACCAATTTGCGCTGATTTGTGAAGGTACACCCTGACTGAACTGCAGTTTATCTTTCTGTGCATGGTATTTGTTCTGGATTTCACTTCTACTGTTGAGAGGACATTGGTAAATGGAATGAATATTTGCCTTTACACAGTTGAGCCAATGATTTGCTCACATACCTCATTGTCTGGTTCAGCCTCTCTCCTTACGGTGTTTTCCAGACTGCACAATTTGTTAACGTATACGTTTAATTTTTTTTTTCTTTTTGTGATTTTTCACTCACTTCTTTCTTTGCATAATGTACTGATCAAGACTAATTTTTTTAGCGCATGGTATTTTTATGTGGTAGAGATTAGTAAGTTGTGATTCAGAGATTTTTTTGTTGTTGTTTCTTCGTCTAAGATCATGAGTGTGCAAGCACTCGTATCAAGAAAAATGGTCATGCAAATGGAAAAAAAAAACCACCCTGTATTTTCATTGCATGCTACTTTGAAACTAATTTCCTGTGTGAACTTCTCATCGTGAAGGCTAGATGGAAAAACATGCTTTTCACTGTCATTCACTCATATAACTATGTACGGGTAACTGTCTTTCAATGTTTGTTTTCAATTCTGTGTTGTCTGCGTCACAGATTATTCACTTAGAGATTGCATCCTTTTGTTTGATTGTGCATTGTAGCTTTATCCCTGTAACATACAGTGTTGTCCAACGCAAAACTGGTTTATGGGAGAGGCTTCTTTTTCCCACTTTTTAGCAGTGAGGCCATTGGCGATGCACAGCAAAGCCAGGACACTTTCCTTCTCTGCTTTGATGCAAGTCCTTCTACACCCACTTTGTATTGTGTTAATAGACTATTTGTTTGTTGTTCCTCTATTCTTTTCATCTCAGATATTGAATTAATATCACAAACTCTGCTCTTTTCTGTCTCCCCAAAAGTAGTTTTTTCTAATAGTGTATTGAGGTTAGTAGTCAGTACTTGATTTAATGAACATGGATGTATAACACTAAAATTAAAATCATGTCATCGTTTTATTTGAAAGCTTGCCATTTATCTCAAAACCATTCTTGCAATTTCTAAGTCCTAATGAGAATGAATCCCTAGATCTGAGTCCAGTGTTATTTGCTGTTTGGAATTCTGTCTCACCACAACACATTCTCCTCTGGTTTTGTCTTGTCTAAATGCAAATTCTAGTACAAACAAATAATTATAATAGAAAAGGAAAATCTGGGTTTTTTTTTTAAGTGAAGATTTTAATAATTTGGGGTGGGGCATATGGAGTATTGGGCTAGATTTTAAAATGTAGTCTCCTATTGTTTAAGATAACTATCAATAGGGATTTTTAAAGTTGCCTAAATTTCTTTTTGTACTGAAATGAATGCATATTTGAGTGACAGTCTTTGAAACTCCATCCCTGTATAGCTGCATTTAAGGTTCTTAATTTATTTATCCTGTGGTACTGCCTATCATTCTTTTTAACTTTTTCACATCCAACTAAGGACATAATCATATTGTCATATCAGTGAATATTATCTAGGGAGGCCAGTTTATCTCGTTTTCCTCATTCAGGCTTTCTTGTGGGGAACTGCAAGTTGTTTTATGGGGCTATCTAGAGCTGTGGGGAGCGCAGATTAGAGTTTGCCTCAAGGTTCCCATCCTGATGAGAAGGGAAATTTGTGTCAGACTGTTACTTGGTGATCCAAAGATGTAGTAAAGGGTAGAGGGGAAGACACTTGATCCCCTGACGGAATGGTTGGGGATAAACACTGCCTCTACGAATTGCTTCATCTCCACGAAGACAGGCTAGGAGTGCTAGTTTGCTAAGTTCAAGGCTGCATGTGCTGATGACGGACTGCAGAGTGAGTACAGCAGGTATTAGAAATGGTCATTCTTACAGCTCTCCAGGGCAGGACAAAGCACTGGAAACAGAAAACAGAATTTTTCACGTTGCTCTACATCTAAATCTGTTGGACCCACTGAGCAAGGTGGGTCCACAGACCTCCCCCCGTACATCGGCAGGCTTCAGAAGACAGCCCATTGCCCACTCCTCTTCAGGATCCAGGTATTGACTGGCGCCGTTGATGGGAACCGCTGTGCTGCGTTCACTTCTCTCCCTACCGCACTGCAGTGGGCAGCACTTTTACACATGAGGTGTCTGGGGAGGTTGGCGCCTACGGGCAGGGGAGACCAGTGCTTACCCTTTGCTTAAATGCACATATGTCGCCGGGTCCCCTGGAACTCAGTGCTGTCCTGAACTGAATTTGTACAGTCAGTAGCAAAACTGCATAATTTCTTTGATACCTGCAGTCACAAGAGAAAACATTAGTGAGTGGATGAGCCTCAGCCGAGGTCCACTATTTGCCAAATAGTTAATAGCTGAGAATAAGATGGTTTTGTGGTGGAGATGGTATTTCAGGGGTAGATTTGGATTTATTTTAGAGGCAGTGCTTTAAATGTAATGGTAAAGCTCAGAAAAACGTCCTTTAGAAGCAGGAAATTCTGTGCCAATTCTTTTCGTGGACCCAGCTGCAGTATGGTTTAAACCACATTTATGGTTTAAATCTTATTTTGCAGTCTCCATCACTTATGCCTGAAAGTCCTGTTTACCATTGGCAGCAGTGATAGTGTATGCTCAAAATGGCTACTGGACCGAAATCTTATTCTCTGCCTTATAGAGTAAAGCAATGGAAATTTGTCATTTGGAGCTCCATCGCTGTACTTATAATGAGATGTCTCTTGCTGAAAGTTATGAGACAAAAGTAATTCAAAAAGCTTCAAGCTTTTGCTTGTTAGATCAAAGGAGGACTGACAAGATAGTGAAGATAAGTCTTTAACTTTTCAATTAACAGTGTCAGAATATTTCATCCTTTGCTGATTAATCGTTGCTTTGGACCAAGTAAATGATGCTTCATCTGAGTGAATGAATATGGCCATACTTAAAACGATTCAGAGAACTCTCTGGTCATTTAATATAGGACATTTGTAAAGCACTGAATTTAATTATAATGTGGACTATCATCTTTAAAACAATTAAAAGAACACACCCTAGTTTTTCAAGAGAGACTGAGCTACAAATATAGGATAGATTGCTGAGTTGACCAATCACACCTATTTCAAGACTGTGGAGTGGGGACTCTTTGGTTCCCTGCTTAGTCTGAGGCTGCCATACCTATGGAAATGGGACCCAGTGTACTTACTGCCTTTTATGTGCCATTTTCTGTGGCATCTTGTGCACTCACTCCTTTGGTTATGTCTTATTTACACTCAGCAAAGGGACTGCAGTCTTGTGATTAGTGTACGATAAAGGCAGGAATGAGGAGCTGGGCAATGACAAGCTGTTTCTTTGGGCTTTTAATCACTCCTCAACTAATTTAATGTATATTCTCTATAAAACTTGAACTCTTCCTCTGTATAGCGAGCAAAGGAGCATGTGTTTTTCGAGTGCCTCAGATGCTCACTGTGTTGTGAATGTAATGCCATTCCTAATAGATTGCTGTGCTGTGGAGGGTAGCTGTGGGTTTGTAAGCTACAGTCTATGCAGACAGGGCTAAATACGTTTCATCTTACTGCTCTGAGAATCTCCTTGGTGTTTCTGTTGCCATCCCTGCGCGTGAAGGATTTAGTGAACAGGAGAGTTGCCTCACAGCCCGGAAGCCTTGGGAGAACTTCTCCCTTCAAACAAAGATTACTGGCAGTCCATATGTCATTGAGCATCATTTGGTCTTCTGGAGCTTCATGAAGCTTGTCGAGATATTTTTAAAGTAATTTTATGGGCAACCAGTTCTTTCCAGTAAGGTTTCTTAGTGGACTTTTTTCATCCTTTTAAAGAAAGCACTTTAGTTTTGGGAAGAAGAAAGGGATGGTGGGAGGCCCCAAGTGCCAGGGTGATATTTCTCCAAGATAAACCACAGTCATGACGTGAATCCAGTGGGGCTCGGCAATTAACGGTGACCAGCAGCTGGCACCAAAATCTCTTAGTGCCCACCTACAGGTTGGGGTGTGATGTTTGGTGATTCTTTTATGTATTTCACAAAGGTAATTGCTTTTTTGCCTTGGTGAACTCAGTATTGTTTCACTTCAAGGCTTAGCCGGGCCAGAAGAAAGAGTTATTGAGTGTGTTGCTTTCCCAGATTAAAATATTGACCTCAAAGTGTGTAATGCTTTTAGAAAATGATAAAGCTTCTTTTTACTTTGGAAACAACTAGCATTGCGTGAATTATGCTGACATTCACAGTTTATGCCATGCATATTATGTGGAGACTTCTAAGGAATAAATAAATATGTTTATATTACAAAGTAGGAGGAGTTTTTTAATTTCAGCTTGCATATAGTTTCACCACACAACACATGGCTGTTCTACTCATACTGTGATATATACAATTGTGCAAGATGTGTTTTGAAAATAACCTTCTGATGATTTCTTGTTTACAGGGTTAGGATGTAGCTTTAAGCATATGCACTACAAAGTCTAAATAAAACTTTTCTGCCTTCATGCTGCCACTGTTGATGATCAGTCTGGCAGAGTTTTACTGTGAGGAAAAGTGCTTCCTACAATAGCTCAGCAACACATTCATATTCTGATGTCACTTTTGGCCTGGAAGTTAGAAGCTGACTTATTATTGGAAGGAGGAAAAAAGTTAGGAAATACATCCTAGCTAACCAAACACTTTCAGGTTTTTGCCGTAGCTTTGCAATTTCTGGTTTATTTTGCTCTCCTCTCTGCATGAATTGTCTGAAATACCGAACAAACTCTGCTATGTCTGCTTACTCTTTTATGCCTTCACAGAGTTCTCAATTCATTCCCTCTTCTCTCTCTCTCTTTGTTTCTCTCTTCTCTCTCTGTTTTTCTTTTTGGTGGGGTACCCTGAATCTCTCAAGCAGTGCAGGAGGCCGAACAGGAAGATGTAAAGGTGGTAGTGGATGCCCAAGCTCCGAAACCAACTAAAAAAACCAAGGCAGCAGCTGCGAGCTGTCAGACTGGCAGCACCAGAAAGGAGAAAAAAGGGAAGCACAAAGGTTAGCTGCATGCGGCTGAATGTCAGATGTTAAAGTGACTGCAAAATACTTCTTTTTCTTTTTTTTTAAATTTCTTTGAATTTCTGAAAATTGCCTAAAACCAATTTCTTGACATTTTATGAGATTGGAAAATGTGAATGACTTGGTCTTGTCTTGGCATGTACAACCTGGGAATGAAGGAGGGCTAAAATTTGTAAACTGAGTCTTTGCCGAAGGAGAGTGTTTGTTCAAATTGCAGAGGAGGAAAAAAAGTACCAATGGAAAGATGTTGGTGTTTTTCTGCAGCATTAAGGAAATGAGAACCATCTCACACCAGTGTGTTTTTTTTAGACTATCTGCATGTTATGTAATTTGGAGAAACAGCCTTAAACTGCAGTCGTTTCTGTCCAGACTCTTACTAAGGTTTAAACTATACAAATCAGAGGTTGAGTGGGCATTTTGAAAATCAATTCAACAAAACTGAGATAACATCCTCAAAGGGGTTATTCCAGTTGTTACTTCAGTGTTACTCTGTCCCACTTGGTCAACATATGGGAGTTGTTTGCATGAAAAATTTTCTACAGTGACTTTGGGTAAGATGATGACAAGAGGGTAGGTAGAAATGACATTCCCGTTATTAGATTTACTATTAGAGTTACATCGACTAGATGGAAGAAGTAACACGAGCCACTTTAAGGGTATTCAAATTTTGTATATATATGCACACTCGCAGAAAGAGCGAGGTTTTTATACCGCATACAGTTTCTTTTTACTTGATGGCGAATGCCTAATGAAATTAAGAAATATCTTTCCAATAGTTTGCAGTTCTTGGATAAGGCCACTGTTACACTCTACTGCCTGGACTGTGCTGTATTCCTGTCTTGTGTATGGCCAACAGTCTCTCCATTATTGCTTAACTAAGAAAAGAGTGTATATCCTTGACAAGTCTATTTAAAGATAGCAATGACTAATAAGGGTAATTTATTGAGGTCAGAGTATTGGGGCTTATCTATAGGGATTTTGCAGGACTTGAGCCTACCTGATCAAAATCCTTTACACGTTGCAGCTTAATTCTTGAGATCTGAATCTACAGCATCTCTATGTCTGTAGTCCCTCTGGCTGCGAAGGGAGCCCTAGCTTAGATAGGCTTTAGAGTCTGGCCCTGAGGTAAAGGCTTTATTCATACATTTGAAAAAAAGATGGTGTGTGTCAGTACCTAGGCTTAAAATAATAAGTAAAAGTCAAAGGTAAAATTAACTGAATGTAAAAATTGTAGGTAAAATAGGTGAACAGAAAGTTAATGTTTCTCAGTTTAATGTAAAAAGTAATTCCACTCCAGCATAATAATATTGATGCCAGATTTTATTTTAAAGTACATCTTGCTGAAGAGTAAAAATTCTTTTACTAGTTTAAAAGAAAACCTTTCTTAGGCTGTAACTGACCATTGTGTGGGGTAATACACACACAATGTGCGTTATGTAAATCATGGTTGCTGTATAACTTTGAGGCTCTGTTTCATCTCATATAACGCCTGTTTTGCCTTTATGGGGTGTCTATGTACTGTGTTCAGAACTTAAGATATTGTGCCGGTGAGTTACAGTAGGTTTGATTTGACAAATTTGTATTGTATAACACCAACGTGTGTGTGTATACATTCACGTTTTCTACTCAGTTTTCTGAGGAGCTTTTGGCTAAAATATTCCGTGAACAAAATCCTAGCCGCAGACCCAGTGAGGTACATAGCAAGAAACAGTGATTCTTTGAGTGTGGTGTTTCCCAGGCTGTTCTGCAGACGCTGGTGATGTGTGCGCTGGGGCGGCGTTTGCTGAGTAGTCCTCTTCGAACCTACCTGCTGGACATAGGCAAGTTAGTCCATGAGCAGCGTGTGCGTACTGTGAAGCAGTTGCACAGTTTTCTTGTTATCTCACAGTGGGTAACACCTCGTATTTTTCTCATATGCCGATAATATTTTTATTCGTTTTCTGAAAAATTCCCCAAACAGGCAAATGTTGGTGTATTTTAATAGTAGCAAGTTGTGTAGGTAAAAGTAATGTCACTTTATGTAGACTGAGAAATTTTGTGTGCTGATACTGCTTCTCTATGTGTTGGAAACAAATACTGTTAGCTTTAGAAACCTCTGCTTCCGCTGCAATTCTTCTGGCTCATCCTACTCTGCCATGCGTGGGCTTCCCTGGCCTTCAGTGTTTGCCCATCGATTGCATCGTATGTATGTTTCCATAGAGTGGAGGTGTTACTCATCAATTATACTAAAGAAAACTTTGAGTACCTCCTCTGCTGAAGTTTATATTGATGATTAGTCACAAATCTCAAGTACCAAATATCCCTGCTGTCAGTTAAACTATGCGTAAAAAGCGCACACGTACACTTTCTCATCCAGCTCATCTGCTTCTTCTGCACACTGGTATTTAACTGTTTGTTCATGTATAATTTCACCCTTGGAATCCTATCTAAGGGTACCTTTGATATTGTTGTAAACTTGGAGTGTGCGCAGGGGATTATAATTGGCTTCCCAGTCTTGCATCCTTATTGAAGCTGCAAAATATTTTGTTACTGGATGAAAAAGTAAAACTGAACACAACTTTAAAATTCTAGAGGGATTTTGCTGATCAATCCACTACAGACATCACTAATTTGTGCTGCCTAGAGAACGTCCAAGTGGTAGCAGAACCCTGTCGTGGAACTTGTGTCAATTTTTCAGTTACTTCTAAGAGTAAATGTGAGTCTTAAGAAAATATTTTATTATAATATTGGATAGATTTGCTAATAACTTCAGATCTAACTCATGAAAATGGTTTAAATGCTTTTATACCATTTTGTGGCACAAGAGATTTTGTTGGAGAAAGTTCATTGGTAATTAGACCGAATGTTGGAAGTTTTCATCTTTCCTATTGCTTCAGGTTTTGTTTCCGCTCTGGCTACTCTGACGGTAACCTTTGTATATCCTGTAAACGAGCAGGATGGGTGCTGAGGGGTGAATGCACTTTACATGCTAAAATAGCTTTTAAAGGTTTCTGTTAGTATTTAGCTAGAGTGAGAATTACCTTTCTAAGCATAGCCCAGCTCTTTGTGCTTTAAGAAAAAAAGAACCTTTAGACCAGATCCTATGAATAATAAGCTAATTCAGAGCAAAAATCGTTGAATTATACATGAATAGCTCTTGAAGCTGTAGTGTAATGATTGTACTCCGGTCTTAGATGTGTAATGCTTTTTTAAGTGGCTTGAAGAATGATGAAACTATGATCAGAACAACGTGCTAAAGAGAAACGCGAGGGAAATATTAGGTTTAATGAGTTACGCTGACATAAGGCAAGAAAAGGGATGTGGCTAATTGCTCATGTAGAGCTGATTGTGCCTTTTCAGTTAGGGGTCAGCGCGTTTTGTAATTCTGTGATGGGTAGTCCAGTAACTAGCAGTTTTTTTTAAAATCTGTGATTATTACTGGTATTTCATTGTTAATGGCGGTATCCAGTATACACTGTGCCTATTTTTAAAAAGAAACGTCACTGTTGTGGAACAGAGCCCGCAAATGCAGTAAGTTGATGGCATTTTGTGGTAGCTTAGCTCATTAAACTGGTATTTCTGAAAGCTTTGGTCTCCCAGTTTATTGTTTGACGTAATACTCAGTATTGGAAAAAAACCCTCAAAACATAACAGATGAATATGTAAAATCGTTGTCTTTCCAGTGGAGATGGTGGATCAAATTCTGTTTTGATTTGTGATGCTAGTAAGGGGTGATTAAGGATATTAGTGAATCTGGTGCACAGTATTGCTAGATGAGTCAACAGAAAAATAATGCGAACAAGCGAAAATAGTTGCAGCAGGAACCTATGAAAAGTATGCATTCTGCGTAGTAGTACAAATACAAAACCAGAGCATCTTTAGATATTAATACCTTGATAATTCTTTAAAAATTGAGATTCCTGAAAGTAGTACAGGTATGTAGTGATGTGGGTTTTTTGTTTGGTTGGTTTTTTTCCCCCCAGTATAGGTTTGTGAAGAAATTAATAAATATACCAGATAAAGTGTTCTTTGGCTATGTGCAATGAATGAATGGGGCAAAAACAAATCAGGAAGATAAAATGTAACCTGTAAAAAAAAAAAAACCCAGAAAACCATGCGAAAACCAGGAGTTAATTCGAAGTGAAATCTGATATGAAAATTCAGGAATCATTCTGTGAAAAGTTGTTGTTTGTTTGTTTGATTTTGGTTTTGGTTTTGGTGTTTTTTTTCTTTCCCCAGCACTCTTGTACTTAGGGCAAGTAAGTACACTCTAGGAAAACCCTGCTCTGAACTGCACTGGTTCACTCACTGCCGTGAGCAATATAAATGAATACTTCTGTCACTGAAATCAGGAATCTGGGTGTGTTTAAGATGTTCAAATAAATTTTTCTCTTACGTTGTACGTTAAATGTATATAGCATTTTGGGTATTCCCTGCTCTCTCTCTGAGAGTCAGAAAGCAAACGAGCTGCTCTGACACACAGTGCTTTTTCTGCCAGGATGGCTATTTCACGTTTTGATTTGGTTTGCTTCTGCCATGTTTCTTTTCTCTCTTTCACGCCTGTCTGTCTGTTTTGATTTGTGCATCCTGTCCCATTTTTACATGTAACAAGCAACTGCGTTAACGCTGGCTGACTAAGAAAGCAGCACCATTTGTTGGATAAGAAGCATAACTTCTCACTGTAACACTTCCTTTCTGGCGGGGGGAGGGAAATTCATGTAGGGTAGATTTATCTCAGCTTCCCTGTGCGTTAAAGGGAAAGGGTAGCAGGAACAATAAGTGAGTTTTCACCAAGAAAGGTCCTGTTATTTCCAGATCTGACAACCCTTTCAGGCTGTGCTTTGGCAACACATGAACTTGATTGTGAAGAAGTCATTTTGGCCTCCTCAGGATAGAGATTTATGACAGTACAGTTTCTGCTACAGTTTTCTAGATTTCATCAAGGTGCACGTAGAGATGGGTGCTCAAGCGCTTTCTTTTAGTGACCTGATCTGGCGTTA